AGCTTAAGGCATCTACACGGCAGGACAGCTGCAGCAGCGTTGGATTTGTGGCGGCTCGACAGTGATGCTGCATCTACTGAAGAGAGGCCCCTGACTGCAGCAGCAGCAGCTGCTGCTGCTGCCGCTGCTGCTGTCGCTGCTGCTGTAGAAGAAGCAGCAGAAGAGACGCCTGAAGACCCTGCTGCTTCTGCTGCTGCTGCTGCTGCTGCTACGAGAAAAGCAGCGAAGAAGCTGCAGCAAGCTGGCGTGCTGTTGCCGCTGGTGCTGCTGGCTGCTAATCACGGCAGCAGCAGCAGCAGCAGCAGCAGCAGCAGTAAACGCTCAGGAAGACACTCGGAGCAAAGTCGCAGCAGCAGCAACAAAGAGCTGCTGCTGCAATGCTCGCTATCCTCGGCTTGCTCCCCTGCTGCAGCAGCAGATGCAGCAGCAGCAGCAGCAGCAGCAGCAGCAGAAGGACACATGACCCGGCTACGAATGTGGGGGGCGCAGCTAAGAGCAGCAGCAGCAGCCCTAAACCTCTGCAAGCTGCTGCCTTCGGCGGTGAGGCTGGTTTTGCTGCAGCGCCTTCTGTTGCTGCTGCATCTGGTGCTGCTGCTGTTGCTGCTGCGTCTGCGCCTGCTACATCCGCTGCTGCTAATGCTGCTGCTGCTGTTGCTGCATGTGCCGCTGCTGCTGCACGGTAGAGCTGCTGTAGGCATAGCAGTCCTCGTGTTTTGTTTGTCTGCTGCAGAAAGAAGAGTTGCTGCAGCTGCTGCGATGTGGGCATCCGCTGCAGCAGCAACAGCAGCAGCAGCAGCGCGAGAGCGAATCCCGTGCTGCTGTTGTGTCAGCAGCAGCCGCATTGCTTCTCCGCAGCAGCAGCAACAGCAGCAGCAGCAGCGAGGAGGCACCGCTGCTGCCTGTGTCCCTCTCTGAGGCGTCCTTGCTTGTTTGTCTACTCTCACGTGCTGCTGCTGCTGCTGCTGCGCCGGAGAACAGTGCCCGCGGCACAGACAGCAGCAGCAGCAGCAGCAGCGCAGAGGAGCAGTCTGCTGCAGGCTCTGTTCATCAGCAGCTTGCTGCCAGGTCCGCACTGTATATGTCTCTATTTGCTTAACGCCTCGCTGCTCCTGCTGTTGCTGCAGCAGCAGCAGCAGCACCAACAGCAGCTCGCTGTGCTGCTGCTAACAACAGCAGAGAGTGAGGGCTGCTGCCTTTGCATTAAACGCAGTCAGTAGTTATCACCTAAAACTGCAGCAAGGCTGCTGCAGCAGCAGCAATTAAAAAACGTTTATCTTGTATGTTGCTGCTGCTGCTGCTGCAGCAGCAGCAGCAGCAGCCAGACTGCTACTTTGTCATTACCATCTGCATATCGCTGCAGCAAGTGCAGCAGCAGAAGCACATTTGCTGCTGCTGCTGCTGCGAAGAAGACCGAAAGCTGCTGTGCAGCTCTTTGCTGCTGTTGTTGCTGCTGCAGCAACAGCAGCATAAACCGGTAAATGCGGCTTGTACGTATGCACACTATTTGCTGCTGCTGTCGTTGCTGCTGCAGCAGCAACAGCAGCATCCATTAGCTTTACTGGGAACTGCTGCTGCTGCTGCAGTAGCTGCCCTAGCACCAGATGCAACAGTACCAGCTGCTGCAGCAGCAGCAGCTGCCCTAGTAGCAGCAGTAGCAGCAGCAGCAGCAGCAGCAGCAGCAGCAGCAGCAG